CGTGTTCAAATTAGCTACTTTACCAGCTTCTAGCTCTATAGCGCGTGGGCTGCACGACTTAGCACTAGTTGCAATCGATTTCTTGGGATGGATTTGTATATAATGAGCTAAAATTACACCTATTCTGAAAAACTCGAAGTTGGTGCTCTGTGGGAAGCTTAGAAGTGCAAAGGCAGCTATTATTGAAACTAGCAGAGCGAGAGAATGCAATGATAGAAGAACCTGAAAGGAGGGGAGCATCCTCCGTCGAAAGTCTGGAGAGCTTAAAAGAAGACACAGTTCAAGCAATACAAAAGACATGGAACCCAAGTAGTGGATCTATAACTGAAGGACGGTCATTATATACTTTCTAGTATTCTTAGCAAAAGTGTATCATAGCTTTGCTATCTAATATTATTCCCTGCACAGCGGGACGCATTTTATCCAAACTTTCGGCAAGCGCTGTAGAGAGATGGAACATAATGCGCTTCACAGGAGCGGTGCTCTACTTGTGCGTGTCATCAAGCCTACTGAGCATAAGAGCTCTCATGCGAACCTCCTCAGACCTTGTTTGGTGTACCGGAGGGGGACCAGTCTTTCAACATGTGGGGCGGTGGTGGCCAAGGCTGTCTAGTAATCTGCAAGTATGTAGTGGCGCCAATTATAGCATGCCGGATGTCTATGAGGTGGGTCGCTTGAGAGATGAGACAGTTCAGTTCAAGGGTTCGTTGATGTGGGACGTTGTAGATATTGTCGGATGGTAATAGGCTCACCAGGAAGTCTATTAGTGACTTTATATGTACGTAATATAACTATAATGCTGAATGTGGTGTCTAGGCTCCGCCATCGCGTCTTGCGTTGTTGCTTTGTGAGTAGATGGCTGCTGCTGCATTTAGTAGTTAGACGTGTTATATTAAGTAAGCAGCTTGCTCGCAAATTCTGCTGTCTGTGCCAGCCAGAGCCGCAATAGTAGCTCTATAGGTGCCGAACCGACGGGAGAGACCATTGCGGCTATTAATGGGTGTATTTCTAGTCCTTCGTGATGATAATTCTAAAAAAATTGAGTACTCGCTGTTTATCGTGTTTCAGTTTTGATAACTATAACTAGTTAACTACAGTTAGCAAGTTCTAAGTGGCAAGATTCTCTCCTAACTAGAGAAAGACTAGCGTAACAAGCAAGACACTCTAGAGTGCTCCTGCTTGTTACGCTAGGCCAGATGGAGTTGTGTCTAGGATAAAGTAGAGGTCACCAGCTAAGAAGCAAGTACATCTGTTAAGGACTGCATCAGCCCACCATAAGATAGGCTATTGTTTTGTACCAGTACAGTAGTTAATTAGCAATTGCGGCTTCACCCTTACACGCAGCTGCGCAACGATTTTGAACAACCATGCCTTCTATACATAGCTTAGCGCGAGCAGTCAGCTGCAGAGCAACCAACATGATTGGTGAATTTTCAGTCTTATTATGACCAAACTTGTAGGATGCTGCCTAAAGTAGTGAAGCCGCAATCGCTATAGTCTTATCGCTGTAGGTGACACTGTGAACGATGAGTTGGCGTATTATGCCGTTAATTTAAGTAAGGTTTGCTTATGCGGCAGCGGTCAACGCTGTATCAACGTAAGTATTGCATAATATCGTTAAGGTTGCTGATATCGTAATTATTTCGCTACATCATTATTTTCTAACTAGAACATTATAAGAAAGCAAGTAGGAATCCGTAACTCGTACATTAAAGCTAGATGGTGGAAAAATCAATATATACATACGCGCCCTCTAGTGATAAACAGGCTAGTGATTAACAAAGTGCTTCGCATCATTCGTCGACCTTTAAAAGTAACGAGACTCCAGTATAAGGCAAACATGCAAATAGGATCTATAATCGTTAGCAGAGGAATCTTATAGTAAGTTTACGTCGTAAAAAAAGCGCAGATCCACAAGAAGAAGCAAATACTTATATCAAAACCTACTTTAGATAGTAACTTAGACCTTACTTTGCCATTTAATGCACCTGTGTTGTATACAATTGTATCCCAAGTCGTTAGAGCTAAAGCGTTAAGGGCAAAGACGATTAGAAGATAGCCAGCTATATCTAGGTTTTTTCGGAAGCGAGATTGGCGCATATAGATACGCATGGCGATAACGGCGTAGACAAGGACCAGTAGAATCCATTCCAAACCCTTATTTTAGTCAGCTATATCTCGTAACCACTAAACTTATTAGTAGCCTACTATACAATATACACCACTAATAATATATATCATTCTAAGTGTTAAGAGTTATAGGTTATATATATGCACGAGCGTATGATAGGGGTAAAGAACAGACCCAAGTTAGAGTAATAGACAAAATAGCGCTATAGGTGATGAATAACGGACATGCAATACTTATGAAATACAAATATATATTATGTACATATCGAAGGGTGGAACGACCTTCAAAATGTGTTATTATGTTCGTCTAATTATTGCGGCCTCGGTGTGGATGATCCGGTGCAGGCCTGTATCAAACCGCCAGGATGTACATAGTGACGTGTGCAGCTTACTGATGCGTGCAGCTTACTGATGTATATTATAGATAGTTAAGTATCATAGTTGGCTGATTGTGAGATAGAATATATAAGACAGAAACCGATTTATGTTCAGCATATAAGATTTTATCTATCTGTGTAACTGCCTTTTGTCTTTATCTCAACTCTCTTTGTTTTAGGATCTTTATTCGTGCTGTCGTTACTCTGCTATAGCTGGATCTCCGACGTTCCACTTAGAATCCACCGCCCCTAGGTAGTCAAGATTTCTACAACAATAACTGGATACATATCTTTAAAGAGCCATAGAAGACAGCCAATATCCATAACTGAGAGGCTTTTGGAAATGCAAAAAACAGTGCATGTAGCGTTTGACGGGTGGTCGGAGGAATATAGGGAGTGGGAGAAGTGGGCTTTACTATCTGAACTAAAAGGCCGATACTGGGAAAGTTTAGGACAACACAGATTGGCGGAGACAGCGCACCGAAAAGCATTGCTATTAAGTACAGAGATACTAGGGCCTGAGCATCTATTTACGCTGGCGAGTATGCATAACTTGGCGTTAGTGCTGAATAGCCAGAAAAAGTACGAGGAGGCTGAGACCATAAATGAGCAGACACTAGCCCGATACAAGAAGGTGCTAGGAACTGAGCATCCCTCTACGCTAACGAGCATGCACAACTTAGCTTGGGTTTTAAATAGTCAGGGAAAGTGTAAGGAGGCTGAGGAAGTAAACTGGCAAACGCTAGTGCTGCGAGAGAAGGTGCTAGGGCCTAAGCATCCAGACACACTGGCTAGTATGAGCAACTTGGCGTGGGTACTGAGTAGCCAGAGAAAGTATAAGGAAGCTGAAGTGATGAACCGGCAGACGCTGGCGCTACGAGAGAACGTATTGGGGTCTGAGCATTTGGACACGCTGACTAGCGTCTATTACCTTGCCTATTCTCTTGCTCAGCAGCATTATATAGATGAACCTTTGCGTCTATATCAGAGGGCATCTACTGGATACGATCTCATCCTTGGAGAAGGGCATCCCACTACCTTAGCTTGTTGCCAGCATTATGCTAATTTATGTGCGTTACAAGAACAGCAGCTTATAGAACCATTTTCAAAGAAGATATCAAGACTATCATGCGGACTTGCCAAGATTGTTATTAGGAGCTTTAGGTTTTAAAGAGGGCTGAGTGATTGTTTGTGTTATCGTATGTAGACTGTAAATTGAGTGCTCAAGTGCAGGATTTAGCTTTCAGTAGAATTCAGGTTTCACTAATACGTACTCAATGTTAGATATAGCGAGAATGACATAACTAAACTATTTGATATAACTACTATTTCTATACTTTTAATAGGTAAATTATATCAATCAGGGACTATGTCTCGCAACGACTCAAAGATGTCTGCTTAGAGCATGAAAGCTATAGAGCCTATATAGATAGCGATTGTGAAGACAACTTTAAACACTAGTGTCTCTCGGTTATCTATCAAACTTGAGGAACTGGAGAAAGGAACGCTAGGCTCGGTCGGCTTGGAGAGATTCCGGGTTGAATCCGTTCCGTTGTTCCATAAGGGTAAAGGCAAACGGAGGGATGGGTTGGTTGGGAATAGAGAACCCTGCGAACCTATCGCACAAGTTGTAGTATGTACGATTGTAGAAGTCGTAGTTGCCATCCCAACACAAGCCCTACTAGTGACATTGTTCGTGCTATTACTCTCTCGCCAAAGGGATGACGCATCTGAAAAACCTAGAAGTACTAAAAAGTAGAGGGATATCATCGTGAAAGTTGGAAGCTTCTCCTGCGATACTGTGGCTGCTCTTTTAATATTTATTGTCTGAATAGACTTGAAAAATCGATAGCCATCTAAAATTGTGTAGTGTGGTTTTGTTAGGACCAGTAGAAAAGTACTGACTACCCATTCTCTACACAGACTTGGCGCAACTACAAATAGAGCTGTATCTATGGAGAATATATACAACAGTAGAACTGCAAACTTCTTATGAGCATTCACATGGATTCAATCGTCTCTAAAGTGCGCGTTGAGCTCGTTGACCTTGCTGCAACTTATGCAGCTGACAAGCACGAAAATGTTACGATTAGTCTGATTTCTGACTTCCAGCGAGCCTTATTCACTATCCTCGACGAGGGTATCCGAATTAAGGACCTTGAACAGTCCAAGGAGCTTAGAGACGAAATGATCTACCTGTTCGAGGATGAATATCCAACAGAACCTGCATGGCCGTATCTCAACCAATTGAAGAAGCAGGATAGGTGTTTTGCTGAGTTAGGCTGTAGATTTAAGCACGGAGCAGCGCTCTATAAGTCTTCTTCTTGCCAGGAACACTTTGTGTGCGAGAATCACAAGTCAAGTCCTTGTATTGCAAAACACGGGAAAGTAGCAGGTCAGAAACACCAGGACGACAATGATACGAAAAATATGAGAAAGACAGCTCTAGATATAGCAAGTGCGAGCACAGAGCACTTAATTGGAGGAGAGCCAGGCAATATAATGCTTGGAAATAAGAAGTCAGACGAAACGAATACAGAGAGAAGGCTTCTAGGTACTGGAGGCCTAGATAACGAGAAACCACCCAAGCCTGTAGTGAAAGACTCCGTAAGCATGGCAAAGCCCTCTGAAGATTTTTATTATTCTTGGGCAAATGACTTCCACTATAATACAGACAGTTCGTCCAGCGATGGGAGCGAACTGGACGATGATGTTGTGAACGGAGAAGAGAAGAATTGGGAGAACGCAGATATTGGAAGATAGTCAAAAATTAGAACTAAATATTTATGATAAATTCTAAGCTCTTCGCAGTGTAGCAAGCTCGAAATGTGTTGGAAAGTAATTGCTGTACTCTATCGAACGTGAAGAAGATGGTGTGTGGAATTTATTGATTATTGTTCGAATCATCTAATCTGCATATATCCAGTTGGTCGAGCAATACATGGTCAGTTAGCTAGCAACTACAGTAATCAAATATTTAACTAGTTGTCATTACCTAGTTGTCACATAGTTTAGCTTCCGATATCCACTTAATTTGCAACAACGCTCTGTAGTGAGTGCTTGGAGGGTTTTGGAAAATCATAGTTGACGAATTGCGTTGCGCCATCAACATATACCCGAACTTGAAAATATTTGTCTTAGATTTTTATTAACTAGTATCGATTGGTCAATGAATTCAGCTCTTTCTCATACATGTAATGAATATTTGATTATTTGTTCTACAAAGTAATATTACCGCAAAGACCTGACCGGGGTTCAGTACAGCTTTCATTAGCAACTTCTGCTGGCGGTAGCAGATTGCATTGGCTTGCTTGTGATGGTGATTGTAGAGAAAAGAATGGACAATCTTCAATTAGGCCCGATGAATTTGTGCAACTACCAATTGCATGCTGCAATTTAGCTATGTTCCAACCATTCTGAAAGTCGCCGTGGTAGCTAGAACCTAGGATCAAATAAGTCAAAGTTTTATTCGCAAACACTTCTTCATACCTGCTTGGTCGCCATTACTAAGTAGGAATCGCCCAGAGACGTTACGGAACACAGAAGTGTCCCAAATCATTTCAAAGAATAGGGCTGGGATCCTAGTCTGGTAATCTGCAGGACATGTGCCCTCCATAACAAGATCTGGATAGGCAACGTGAGACTCATGGTCGTTGGAATCAAGAGAAATGCCATCCCAACATGATGGAAACATCAGCTCAAGGCGAATGCCATCAGCGCAGTTTGAATCAATGAAAGACTTATTTGGAAGTAGATGGCGAGTTAAAGACCCCTCAGCAGCGCCACTGTAATTTAAACAATTGAACCCAATAGCTTTTTCAGCGAGTGCTTTTGGTGTTTTCTCTTCTGGACCCCACAGAGATTGTGGTATGTCTGAAGGGGGAATAAAGTCATTTTGCTTACTAGCATTACCGGCAATCATTCTAAATCCCGGTGGAAATGCCATGATTCTATCTCCAAAAAGAAAATAATAACTATAATTAGCATAATTATTATTATTATTATTCCATTATAGTCCTGTATCAGCCGTTGGCTATGTAGGACTTTGGCCAAAGGCCGTTCTATCTAACTAGTTACAATTTGGTATATTGTGCTGTATTGCGTGACTATGGTGCTTCGGCCTTT